CAAAGACAGCATCCCCCTGTCAGCAACCCCGCTTGCAGGGACACATAGGGAAGGAGCAAAGGCTGCTTTTCAGCCCTGTTTTGGGCAACTTTGCAGAGTCTCTTTTCCCTTGGACCGGTGGTGGTGCCACACAGCTGCATGACAGCCACGGGAGCCAGGGCCAGAACGGCCCTGGAAGAGGCTCATGGGGGGGCAGTAGCACAGCAAGGGTCTCCAGCACCTCCCCCAGCTAGAGGGAAAGCAGCTGAGCTCACAGGGAGCGCTCGAGGCAGCAACACTCAGGGCTGAGGCTAAGGGGCTGGGGCCAGCACACCTCATGCCATGTGCTGCCCTTGCAGTGTGGGTCAGGAAAGAGGGGAGGGTTTTCCTGTTTCTGTGGGACACCCAGGGAGTGCAGGGCATCCCCATGCTCACAGTATGTGCTGTGGAGCCGGGAGCAGAAGGGGGCTCAAGGACACCTCCACATCCCCTTGCTGAGGAAACACAACCCAGGTGCGTGCAGGGGAGCGGAGGTGCCACCATGACATGCTCTGCCTGCCCGCCCTGTCTGCCATGAGCTGGAGGGGCTCAAGTGTCCCCTGGAGCTGGAGGAAGGGTCACCCGCGACTCCCAAATCCTGCCCAGGACCTGCTGTGCTCGACCAAGGCTTGAGGTTTGGGAGCGCGGCTGCTTCACTGCCCAGGGCCTCGCTCCCCTCCGGCACCCAGCCTGGAAACACACCCGGTGTTGACAGCAACACGGGAGGAGGTTTCCTGCGGCTCATGCTGATGCTGGCAACAGCTCCCAAGTGCTCGCAGACAGCAGCCCTTGTGGCCCCTGTGGCTCCCACCATCCTGAGCGGGGCCCGATCTCCACAGCCCTGCTAGTGCCCTAGGCCAAGGTGTGCAGCCCCGGGGGCATCAGCAAGCATGAGGTCGGGCTACAGTGGCAACTGAGCCTTGGGCAGCTCCTCCTAGAAGTGCGTCATTTCTGAGGATGGGAGTGCCCCCTGGTCCAGTCCAGAAGAAAGTGGAGAGAAGAAATGGAAATGGAGATAGGACATGGGCATGAAGTTTTGGGCCTGCCACCACAAAAAAGCCACTGAGGTGCTGGAACATGTCCAGAGAAGGATGACAAAGCTGGTGCAGGGACTGGAGCACAGACCTTATGAGGAGGGGCAGAGGGAGCTGGGATTATTTAGTGTGGAGAAGAGGAGGCTCAGGGGAGAGCTTAGCGCTCTCTACAACTACCTGAAAGGAGTTTTTAGTGAGGCAGAGGTCAATCTCTTCTCCAAAATAACTACCCATAGGACAAAAGGAAATGGCCTCAAGTTGTGCCAAGGGAAGTTGAGGTGAATATTAGGAAAAATTTCTACAT